TCCTAGTTTTTAGGTCATTCCAAAGTGACGGTGGGACGAGCCCCATTGAGGACACATAGTTCGTGAATAAAATGAACACTGCTGGTTTGATGTGAATATTCATTATATTTTTAATAAGGGACCACATTTAAACAATGGGAAACTTAAGCATTTGTGTGTTACGTTAAAAAATATATATATCGATGTAACGGGTGGGACATCCAATAAGCATATGAACGCTTATAACTTCTCGCCATAAATTTATTTTTTTAATAACTCATCACCATTTTAAAGTTCATGAATTGTTCTTTATTTGTGGATAATTATTTGTTGCATTGTCACCTTTAGTACATGAGGAACCCTTTGAAATCTTGATGCAAAAATATTACAGCATATTATATATGCATTTATAACATTTATAGCATTTATAACCCACTGGGAAAATAGGTAAGCACCTTGCGAGGTAAGCCATGTTTTCTTTCAGTTTTTAGTACCAAAATTGTCATCATGGCCAATGTCATCTACTAGTAAAGGGCAAAATGAACACCTCCGAAGACACATTACGTTGTCAGTTGCAAAATAACGTGCAGCCGAAGTTATTTCCAAGCACCGAACTACTCCGAGCGACTGCTCTGCATTACACGTAACTTACTATGTAAAGCGGCTCAGAAGTATGTCTGATACCAAATGTACATTCTAAATTCCTACTTACATAAGGCGGCCATGCCTTTGTAAAAGTAAGGGACGTTCGGCAGGGAAATGGTAATGACTGCCAGGTGAAGAGTAAGTTGCTAATAAGGTATTATTACGTGCTCCTAATTCCCACTGGGAAAATAGAGAAAATAGTGAAAAATATATAGAAATAAATAAACAAAATTAATGTAATTTATTTATTTTTTTAACTGAGGAGTCGTCTTCCCTGGCATTGCCCAAATGCAAAACCTCCTAAACTTGTACAACTTTCTTTGAAGTTTCATTTCCATTGTTCAATTTTTTGTAGTAAAAGTACTTCAGTTAGGGCTTTTTGCTTTGCACCCGTGTTCAGCTCGGTTTAACGTTATGATTTCAAATGTAACAAAAAATCATAACCGAAATAATAAATTTTATTTATGTAAATGACGGAGGCCAATTTCAACTAAAGAGTAATGGTACATATACACTATTTGGAACAAAATAATTTTGGGATACCCTAATCTACACACTTCTGCAGCTACATACATCTCTATATGTATATTTCATATACTTTCAACCCCCTTTCTTTTAAACATAAACTACCCTGCAGAAAAAAATTATCAATTGATAAAAAATAACCCACTCGCTGCTAGCTTTTTTGCGGGATTTCTATAAAATATATAACTTGTAGTTAGCTACAAAAAGCTAACTTGAAACTAGTTGACAAGTAATGCAGGAGTAGTGCAGGAGATTGTTTTCTTTAAACGCGTTTCTATTTAAATTTCCTGCCCTTCGCAAATACTTTTTCGAATTGAGGACAAATAAAAGGAACATCGAAATTTCATATTATCATTTTGAAGTTATGTCTGACGGAGTTCGAATATGGGACCACCTACAGCAGAATATGTAAACAAATATGAAATGTAATAAAATATATAAAGTAAATAGATAAAAAAATAAAATTAAAAAAATTATTTGTTTTTCCTATTGATATTTTATGTCCAAAAGTAGTTAGTTACAAGTTAGCTACATCAAATGCATAGGAGGTTGACTATTTCGCCGCTATCGCCATAGAAATATAGTTAGCTTTCGTCAAAGAAAAATATACAGATAATAAGTGAATTTTAGCTCCTTCCTAATCAGCTGAAAGCTAACTTATTGTTAGATACATTTCCTGCAGGGTATGGTTGTACATACATACATATGTATATAACTTAGTGAAAGTGAGTATGGGGAGAAATGGAGTTTCGCATGCGGAAACAATATATAAAGTTGGCTTAACTTTAATTGCCACTGGTCAAAGTTTTGATGAGTTTTTGTTTGCGACGCTGGCCAATAGTGGCCAACTTTGTTTTGATTGACGATGGATAGGTGGTAAGAAATGGAAATTGTAGCTAGAACAAAAAATGGGGCAACTTAACTTTATTGCCGGGAAACGCCGTAAACAAGTCGGAAATTGAATTTACCCGTAGTATGTTTGTAATAAATATGGATATGTACTTACATTCATAAGGTACGTACATACATATTTATATACTAGACTGCATCACTCCCTATACAAAAACAAGATCGGTACTATTTTTCCATTGGAATTATAAAATCTATTATATTTTAAGACGTCTACCAAAATAGTTCGGAAAAATATTAAGATTTACGTGAGCTGGACCGATTTGAAAATACCTCCAAAAATGGAGTTTTTTATGAATCAAAATAGTTTCTTAACGATTTTTTTTTTTTGAAAAAATCCCCTCAAATGATAAAAAGGTTTAAGCTAAAAAAATCTGCATAAATATATTAAAAAAAAAATAATAATTAAAAAAATTTTTACGGAATCGTAATAATGAGATTTTTGATGCTGTTTGTTAACTTTCTTCAAAGATTGGTATAAGAAAAACTTACAGCCTTGTTCTGTATCACGAACGATAGGCAACACGAACGATTCGTCTGCAGAGGAATGCCTCAAAAATTATTCCGGCGGTATCATTCTTGCCGGTTTAAACGCAACCGGGACCATTTCAACGCAATATATGAAAAGCAAGACGAAGACGACCGATAGAGTAATAAAATCACAATCAGAGATGTTGTCGTCCGCAGACGAATCGTTCGTGTTGCCTATCGTTCGTGGTACAGAATACGGCTGTTAAACTCAAAAGGTATGGAAGTAAGTGACAAAAGAATGGAAACCGTTTTCGTAATTTGACTTTTTTCGATATGTAGAAAGAAGTTTATTTAGTTATAGGGTTTGGTAGCAGTTCTTCAAAACGACTTACTACTATACAATTAATGCGTTTGGCGCCATTTTGATGCACTTTTGGGTGTATAATAAATACCTACATCTAGATTTCTCGGCCAAACTATTCTGATTCCTTGATGAATTTGCCGATGTCACCTATAGTAGATGCTGATATATCTTGTATATGTCTTCCTAATACTTTATAACTAAAAGTTGTTAGACCCGGGCATTCACAAGGGAAATGCTGTACACTTTCTTCGCTACCTTCTAGTTGACAGCGTTTTGAAAACATAAGATAGAAATTCTATTTTCTATTAACTTTACTAAATTAAATTAACCACATTAAATAAATTAATAACACTTTAAAACCAATCAAAAATAATAAATAATTCAATGAAAAAGGTAAAAAACATTTTCAAGCTAAATATATTAATTTATCATAACGAAATCGAGGTAAAGTTCCACGAACTCAAATAAATACAAATGAAATAAAAGTCAACTTAATATAAAATAAAAAATTAAATAATTCACAACCAAAAAAAATTACTCAAAATAATATTCTTATAAATAAAATTCTAGCATATTCAGCTATAAAAATTAAAGCAAATCCACCACTTCTGTGACAAGCCACATTCTCTCTGCGTGTTTGTCAATTGTTTTGTTTGTGATCCTTCATAGTTGCTGCAATTCTCAATACTTCTGTCCTTGATCTGTTAAGAAGGTCTACTGTCTCCGTCCTGTTATAGTCAGACCACAGTGTCTTGGCTACTTTGCAAGTCTGTATATTAGAGACAAGGAGACACCGAGTTCAATGGAGTACACACCTGTACCCTCACCACAGTCCATCTTTGAACCGTCGGTATAGCGAGAGACTGGCCCTTAATCGGCCACTTTGTCTCTACGGCACTATCTTCTGGTTGGGAGCGGAGTCTTACTTGTATGTTATTGAAGCTCAGTTTAGATAAAATATAGTCGGTATTTTGCCGTGATTCCATTTCATTGATGATTATTCCGTGCCTGAATCTCCTAGTCTGACGGTCGGTACATATCCACATCAATCGGTTCGGTTTCAGTTCCCAATTTCTGCTTAAGATTCTCTTGAAGGTGTAGTATGCTATGCAGTCCTTCTGCCTACGATATTCGATGTTGATTTTGCAGTTCAGTTTGGTGTATAGCACGACTCCCAAATACTTTGCGCAAGAATATAGTTTGAGCATCTAACCATGAATAGCATAAGTTCGGTCTTGTCTGGGTGTACGTTTAACCGATTTTCTGTGTCCGAAACTCTCAAATTCTCCAGTACAACATCACCGGCGTACACCACCACTTTGACGCCGCCTCTGTTGAGATCTTTCCGCATTCCGTTCAATGCTATTGCGCTATTGGGTGCCTCTACACTGGTATAGGGGTAGTCTTGTCATTTTAAGTTTTTGCTTTTAAATTAATTGTCGTTTACTTTGGGCAACTGTAGGCCGCACCGTCGAAAACAGGTTTCGAGATAGTTCTCACCCACAGGAAATTTTCAGGAAAAAACCATCTGGTGTTTATGGCATTCGCCGACACGATGTTGCTTACTTATTGGTTCTTAAAAATCAATATTAAAAAAGATAGTCTCCAGAAAGCAAGTCCGAAGAGTCAAACTCAAGAGGACACTGGGTTTTAGGTAGTCAAATTAAGTATTCACATCGACGACCGATGTGACTGAGTAGTTAGACGTGCTTACTACCAGGTCCCTCCATTTTTGTTATAACATTAGTGCGCACACCACAAATTGGAGGGGAAGTTCGGCCAAACACTTAACAAATGTGAAGGCACCAAATATTTATTTATTAAGTATTAAGTGTTAAGTATTAACTGTTTAAATATACCACGATTTGTATAGACATATAATCATATCTTACTTCGATAATGAGAATTATCAAGTTTACGTTTTGACCTTATTTTCTTTTTTGTGTTTGGGTTTAAGTTGTGTTTATGTTATGTTTTGAGTGAATAAAGTGAAAAAGAATTTTGTGGTTCATTTTTTGGCTTACTGGAGCACTTCATCCCTCATGCTTCCAAAATTTGTAAACATAAATGGTCAACACTGGTAACCGTTTTAATTTTTACATTACAGTGATCGGTTTCCATACTACAAATCGAACGATGATCGTTGGAAGAATTCAGTGCGACATAACCTCTCCATCAATCCGCATTTCCGCAAAGGTCACAAAGCGCCACAAGGAGCTGGCCACCTGTGGACAATATCCAGTGGAGACTCAGCAGAAAATGTGCTAGCATGGGAACATGTAGGTTTTAGGAACATCACTTGTCAACCAGAATCAGAAGATGCATTTTTTACTATTTATTTGCTATCCTCTCCACAGAAGAAGCAGCGACTGGACTTATTCTTCAAAATGGAGTCCATGAATCGTGAACGCCTACAGCAGCATCAACAACAAATGCAGCAGCAGCAAAGTTGCACCTCACCACATCCGGATTGCCAACAAATGCAGCAGCAGCAACAACAGCAACAACAACAAGGACCCCAACAACAATGCGTCTATGATGAAGCCGCAACAGCAGCCGCCACAATTACACGAGAAATGCTCAACAGCAGCAGCAGCGAAGAGACCTGCGGGCAGAGATGCAACACAACTACGGACAACAACAATCACAGACTAGAGAGCACATCGTTGGTGCATGAATTGCCATTCAACGATCTGATGAGCGACGAAGAGCTCCGCAAAACGGCTGGACAAATTCTGAATGGCATACATCGCGAGGTAGAGGTGCAATCGGTGAACTCAATTATTAGTACCTATCACGATGTGCTGCTGGATAATGGTGAGTGGCAATTAGTGCTAAGGGTCAATGGACTAAAACGTAATTAAATTTCTTTCACACTTCCCTTTGTTTAAACACCAGAAGATTACCTTAATCCCATTCACAAGGATGTCGCTGTGCATGAGAGTGGTCTACGTAGCACGAATGCAACACATCTGCCAACCGCTACATATACAAATTCCCATAATTCGAGCTCCCAGTATTATGTCACCGAAATCGATCCACTCGAACTGGGCATACAAATGTCACATCAAGTGGGTGCGGAGGAGGTGCTCTTCAGCGATGAATTCAATTTGAATTACTTTGGTTACAATGGCGCCAATGATATTGTTGCCTGACCGCCAGCACCGTCAAGAATGACAAATGGCATAGCGTCTGTAATCAGTGTAACCGCAGTTGCAGGACGTTTGAGTTCGATTACGTCGTTGGAAAGTGGTTCATTGACCCAGCAATTGGGTGCGAGACCGGTGGAGCATGTTTACGGTCAACCACAACAGTAATTACTGGAGTGTGAAGTAGTGGTAGTGCATACATACATATGTAGTAGAATTAAGATACTATACATACATTTACTATACTCATTTAGAAGTTATGTATTTATTAATGTTAAGAGGCCTTACAATCACTTCTAGTCACTAATTGTGGATGTTGTTTATCTATACTTAGTAGAATAATATGCCCATAATTTTACCAAAAATATGTACATTTAGACTTTATTCTATTAAAACATTAGAAAATTGTTAAGTAGATAAGGATATGATTTGTATGAATGTAAGTATGTACTAGGTATACAAGTAAGTTTTAGGGTCGTTTGCACTATGTCTGGTTAATTCTAAAGGCTCTGTTATGCATACTTGGCATTGCATGCACTGCTAAACCATTTTTACGTAGAAATCAAAAACCAACAGACTTCTACGTATGTAGTGCTGTGCGTTCGATAACCGATTACACGCGAGGCTCATTTAACAGATTTCTTATGTGACAGCTCTCAAGCCATGCCAAGTATGCATAACGGAGCCTTAACTCCTAGTAAAACATCGTTATCGACACCCAGAATTTATCATGTGATCGATAAAGCAGTCGATGTGTTTAACTGGAGGATTTACCTCCACTTAGGGCCGGTTGTTCAATATCTGGTTATCACTACCACTATACTATCGACGATTTCGACATCATGCATGTAACATGTGATCGATAAAGCAGTAGTTGTGCTTAACCGGAGCTTCTATCTCCGATTTGTGCTAATAAGACATTGAACAACCGGCCCTTAGTGTTAACTAGACATGGTGCAAACGACCCTTAAAAGAGTTTTTCTCGATTTTCTAACTTTATTGTGCAATGTAATTTACTGAAAATTTTGCCCATCGCTAGCTATGACTTTTTCTGGTAATGCATTGATTCTGCTCCAATAAAAATATTCATCTTTGGATACCATGAATTTAGCAATCCAGCCAATTTTGTATACCTTCAACTGAAGTGAAGCGTACGACTGTAAGGACGTTCTGCATGGACCGGAATAAATGGTATCCGGTACCAACGAGATAAGTTTTGACCACTTGTGCAACATGCGACCAATCATTGTCATGGTAGAAGATCAATGACTCGTATCATCTGGTTGCCCAGTCCGACCGTTTTTCCGCAATCGCTTGCTTCAGTCGTTGTCAGTGGTTGTCTGTAGAGGTTCCCGTCGGCCGTATGACTACTTTTCATAAGCTCATAATACAGGAGCCGCTTCTGGTGTGAATCTATTTTCACGACTGTTGAAAAGACAATGCAAAAACGGCTTCGCTTTGTAACTTTAGGGGAGCATCTTAGAAACAGTGAAACGCCGTTCGATATCTCTTGGTGTGAGCTCATGTGGCACCCAGCTTCCGACTTTCTGGACCATACCAATGGCTTTCTATCGCAATGAAATATCTTGTTATGTCACGCCTTATATTGCCGCAAGTTCTTCTTGGGTGAGGCACGGGTCTTAATCCAAAACTGCCTGCTTATTCGGCCTCTATAAACGTTGATAGCCTTCCTTCGCGCTCATTGTCAGGTGTGTCGAAATCGCCATCAACGTTGCAACCAGTACTCACAGGTTATTTGATGGCTCATGCTCACCGTAGGGCGCACAGAGCAGACGTTGACTTTCTGCTGCACTCTTCTCCAGATGGAAGCAAATTAGCAATGATCACCGCGAATGGAGTTTTGTTGTTAATTGATAACGGTTTTTATATGAATTTGGCTGCAGCATTTTCCGGTATGCTTAAATACGATTGGAACCCTTTGTTGAAATAGAGGTATAAACTCAATCTTCTTTTCCGCATTGCTTTCCACCCAAGTTGTAGTAGTTCCAAAGCGTGAAGTTTTCACTTTGCCTTCCCTACATTCACAACAACGGAAGTCGTTAGGACTTTCCTGGATGACTGCTGATCGGAAAAGGCACGTGCTTAACTCTGAATAAGAAGGAAGGGACACAGCGAACTAAGTGATACTTTGTACCACGAAAATCGGATCTACGTAACCGAAATGACCAGTTTTAAATCTGTCCTAGGAATATCACCCCATCAGAACGAAAAATGACACTGAAGATGGCACAACGCCGAAACCGGTTTGTCTGCAAACCAAACTTGACAAGGGATGACGGAAATTCGTTCCAAAATAAATCACCCCATCATCATTCCCTAAAAACTAGTCGGGGAGTTTGTATGTTCTACAACAACAAATTCGTATCAAAAAAATACGTCTCCATATCTTGTTGATTAAGCAATGTACCTTTGGAATCATGCTGATCCTTAAGAATTCGGGAGATGAAATCGTTCAGTCCCCTTTTGTCTAAAAAAGCTTAACCGTTACAGATAAAAGTCGACGCTATTGTTGCCGGCTAGGTACCATTTTGTCAAGTGCTTGGCCGAATCTTTTATCAGATTTGTGCCTCTTGATGTTGCCTCACAATTGGAAGGAGCTACAGTTTAACGACACCTTCAAACGGTACTACATATATTTAACCCGAAAAGGCGCCAACTGGCAGGTATGCTTCTGCTTGAACTCCATCAATACAACTGAGCGTATTTGCGTATTTTATACGAATTCGACAGAAAACCCAAGAACTGTCCTTTCGAAACCAAGTAAAGTTTGACTTTTTTTAATTTGTATTTACCAATCAAAAATTAGTGCATACATAAAATAAAGGGGCTAAAGGGGCTCAAGAAAGTGGGACAGAGGAAAGAGATGGTCATCAAGAGGAGCTAGTGATGTGCCGAGTCGGCTATTTTTGGTACTCGAGTATTTTGGTACTCATTAAAAAAAGAATCGAGTCAGGATTCGAGTCAGATACTCGGATCAAGTATTCGAGTTCAGAGCTCGGTATTCGAATACGTTATAGATTCGACTGCTGAACATGCACCCAACCGAAATGCCGACTTTTTTATTTAACATGATATTATTATTAACTCCAAGATAGTATATCCGATTTATGTAGATCCAAACATAGAAATCTAATTCTTACATACTTACAAATAATAATTAAAATTAAATAAATATAGGGTTCAATAACAGTTCCTTTATTTATCATAGTAGAACTAGAACTTAGTAGTCTGTCATAAAAAAAATATCCAAAGTAAATAATGAGTTTAAAAAAAATAAATCTTCAGTACCTTAAAAGTTCAACTAGTACTTCAATTATAATGACAATATTCCATGAGATCTAGATTCATAAACAACAAAATTACTCCTTTGGAATTTAAAATTCCTTTCATCTTTGGCAATTAATACCTATAACGATATTAAAATTAATTTAGTTGTGTGGTGTATTTGGTAAATATATATACATATATATTTTTTTTAACGCTAAACCGCCATTTATATATCAAAAATACCTGATTCGGTGTTTGATAATTATAAGTACTCGAGACCCGTACTCGAGTCTGTGTATGCGAATACTATAATTTGCTTACTCGAGTACGTGAGTACTTCTAAAATACTCGAGTCAGAACTCGAGTCGACTCGACTCGGCACATCACTAAGAGGAGCAGTCTTGCTTTATTTTATGTTCCAGTGCTGTGGAAGAGGACACGAATAAATTTCATACTGAAGTTAGGCAGAAGACCCTACTCGCTAGGCCAATAAGTCGAGCCTCCTTTGTGTTAAAAACAATGAAACAGTTTATCGGCAATATTATCACGATACACATTCTACGGCTAGCATCTCTACCAACGCCAAACCAACAGATACATACGTATGTACAAATCAAGGTACATAGATATTGATTTTCGCATACCAGCAGACCCGACGCCATCAGACTATACCCAATAAACATTGAGCTTGATTAACAATTCGAAAATGAAGTCCAGCCCATTATCGAATTTAAATCGCACAGCAGAAATTTATATCATCTGCACAAACTAAATATTTGCTTAGTGGGTAATCTCATTATATTTTCTAACCAAATGGGAAGCTTATGCTCAATTTCGCCTCAGTACAAACACAATTTCGACATTTCCAATAAAAGGTTTTCTGAGTGTCGTCTAGATATGTCCGCTGGCTGCCTGAGCAAAGCTATCACACCTTGGACCACGAATATGTATAGTATACACTGTATACCCACATGCATATATTCATATATTTTATGTACAATTTAATTAAGATCGCACAAGTTCTGAGATAGTAAAACGCGCACTTAATTTTGTAATGCATATTTATCAGGACTGCAAACCACTCCAAAAATAGGTGCGGTTCGGTTCAGTGGTTCGAACCACTTAGAAAATAGTTGTACCGGTACAACAACCGCTTCATGAGTATCGCTGAACCGCGGTTCGGTTCGGTTCAAATGGGTCAATTGTGTTGTGCTAAAATATAAAAACTTGGGAAAATTTGACAAACCTATAACAAGTAAATTTTAGCAAAAAAAAACCGACCTAAAAAAATATATATGTATATATATATCCATATATATTTCATGATCCAATGATCGGATCTAAATCAGATTAGTCCAAAGTTATGCAGTAAAATACATAAAAACAAAAAAAAAATTAAAAATTACGACGAACTGATAACCTCGTCATTTTTTGGAAGTCGGTTAAAAATAACAGGCTTTGTTACTGAAATCAAATCCTAATATCCACATTAATTACAGGCTAACCTAATATTCGCGGCTTGCGTTTTGGTACGCATGCCGTCGAATTTGTTTTTTTGCGTCACCCGAAATTGACTTGCATGCGTTTGCATTTGATTTCATTGAGCGAAACGTCAAATCAAAATGTCACGCAGAACAAAAATTGGAAATTGAGTTAGCTTCATACGCACGCCGTTCAATTTCGGTTGATCTCATACAAGTTGCATGTGCATGAGAAAT